ACTCCCGAGTTAATCAGTTCGGTTAGGACTGGGGTGAGCAGCACGCACCGTTGACTTCTGATATAAAAAAATTTGACGATTTCCTGTACGCTTTTGAATTTGCTCTTTTTCCCCCCGTTAGCAAAACCGCCCTGTGTAAGAAACAACGGCAGCAAGAATAACGAGGATTTGTTGCAAGGAAATAAGGATGGACTATCGCGTCGCGCGGACTATGTAAAAAATTATCGTAAAATAATCAAGTTATGAATAATTTTATGATTTTTACCTTTTAGCTCATTCAACAGGTTCGTACTAACTCACTCCTCGTAATAGAAAAAAAGTTTTAACAAAAAATTAAAAAAAGAAAGCGTTACAAAAATAACAGCACTGTCATTGAATACAAGCAGGTGATTAAACCATTTCTGTCTAAATTTGAAGTAACCCATACAGATACCTTGAATATCTGCTTGAGTTTGATATTTGCTCAGATCAATGGACGAATCGAATTGATAAATAACTACAAATCTTCAATGATCTCGGGCAGCTATTCCATAGATTGATTCTGTGCCTAGCTGTACTTCACGAAATACCTTTCAGTAATTGTTTAAAAACGTGTTTGCAAAAAAAAGTGCCTTCGAACAATAACTAGACCAGATAAGTACCCTGACTAAAAATACTCGTGGTTCTTCAGAGACGTGTACGGAATTGAAGGGATTTATATGACAACAGTGGTATGAATGTTGTTTAATACTTTAAAAAATACTGTCAGAAGTGGGATTCGAACCCACGCCCTCATACGAGGACCAGAATGATCACAACCCGCGATCTGCAGGCAAGATTCACCTTGACTCTGGCGCCTTAGACCACTCGGCCATCCTGACACACGACTCAAGCTCATGCAACTAGTGCATTTCAACGCATGAAATTTGTAAATTATAACAAAACCCTCAATTTCTCACTTCATGCGGATCGTTATTAGCTCACACATACGAACTGCCATCAGTGTTTAACAACTGATGATTCAATTTTTTTCGTGTTGCTGAAGAACAGAAACGCTTTGTATGTTGCTCGTTTATTCGTAGGGCAGAATCTCTGTTCCCGTGGTAGTACAATGGATAACGAGTTTGCGTGTTAACCGTAGGGCACAAATTGTGGGTAGGTTTAAATTCGGCCATAGACACAGGTAGTTCCACCCTGGTAGTCTGCGTGCGATTATGTTTCTAACGACGATACCGACTTTGAAACATTAATTCCCTTTTTTTTTTGCTTTATACATTAAAAATGCTATTAAATTTGTTGACTGATGTGTGATAGTGTTGGTCGCTACTAATATAACACAGGAAGTTTTCCATAAGTGGCCGGGAGGACTGTGGTGCATATTCGCTCTTTAACTGTAAGCCGAATCCAGCAAAAACTATAATAATAATAATATAATAATATAATAAAGAACTAAAATAACAAGATCGAAATAGTAGAAACATGTGGTTAGCTCTTTTACATTACACGCACCAAATGACAATAGGTTTTATTCGATAAAGGAGTAATCTAAGAAGACAATTTAATTAAGCCCAGTTAATCCCAGCCCAGCAAAAATCTTACAACATAAGAATCTTCACCAGCCAGTCGAAGGTCGACGGGTGATTGACCTGAACGAACGATTAAGCGGAAGCCGAAGCGCAACTGGTTATGTGAATAGCGGTTGAGGGCCTCTCAATTATATCGTCCCTTGAAACGAGAATATTGCGGAGAAGCTGCTCGCTCGTCGCCAGGACGTCGCGAGTCACCGCAAGTTGGGCGCTCGTATTCAGCAAACCTGAAATATAAGAGAGCAACCTTAAAACTGCCCGATTTGACCAATCGAACATCGCCAAATTACCCGCTTTGGGTACAAAACGGATCATACGAACAATAACCCGTTGGAACAAGTACGGTTGACGTATTACAGAATAATTAGATAAGTGTTACTAAATTTTGGCCAGCATTGAAATACGGTTTTATCAGCACAGAGCTACGAAAACTGTCACTCTCGACGAAAGGCTAATGTAGGCTAAATGCCAGTTTCCCTTTTAAGCTTACCTTCTGCTAGAAAAGCTAAGACTGTATTTGAGAAAAATCAGTTTAGCCTACCTCTTAATGCGTCTGCTTTATGCCCTAGGTCTAAAAATGTTCAATAGCTTTTTATGTAGAAATATTTCATAAGTCTTCAACGTTGGTCGTCGTAATGCCTGTAATCACAAAGGCGTCGGTATTGACAATTGTTACGAACCAAATCACGGTTATTTGTTACTGGACTATTAGATAATTACACCTTGGCGTTCTGAGCCGGGCATAGACAAGCACGCAGCTCGTTTCATGTTGGGAGCCAGCCAACGGTCCGTCTGATGGAAGTATGCCGAACGGACGCAAATCTCGAAATATAGGGCACTACTAGGCGGCAAATGAAAACGAAAAACTATTAGGCTGCTAGAAAAGACAACAATGCTAAAAGGTTGACTAATTTATATTTAGTAGTAAATAAAATAACATAAAATCGGAGACATCCGTCTCTATAGGCAAATACGCTCGTCATTTCACCAACGATAGAGAAGTAAAGCCTTTCCTGTGTGCAGGTGCTAGCTAACGTGCTTCACTTTAAAATCCGCTTCAAGTTAATTGCGTAAAGTCGACTCCAAAGAGCACTTAGGGGACCGATAACAAAGCACTTCTCCTACTATTGTCTGAGATCAGAACGTTCTTGCCTTTAGTTTGGATTTGAGATGCTAACCGCCTGGCTCACACAGTACAGGCTGTGATAAAGCTGTATAACCGGATATTATTTTTTAGCGTTTAATGCAGGTCTCTTGTCACGCACACCCCGATTAGTACTTACCAAACCTCATAGGGGTCCGCAGAAATAAACGTCCTGCTGATTTGCATTATTATTTTTCACATATTATTTAATGGCTTCGACAACATGTTTACATAATAGCTTAGGTTCATATTCAGGTATAGTTTAGGTGGAATCTGTTAACACCCTTATCCCTCTGGCCACATTACTCACAATGTGAATTCAAGCATAATTTAATGTATTGTAGTTTAGACAGTGAGACATTTTTTTGTCATATCTAGAATCACATTGTCACATATATAGAAATAGCTATTCGAAGTTGAAAGAACTAAACTGGACTTTGAGCTAAGGGCTTTCTCGGCACGTTAGCATCTTTCAGAACAACTTTAATTACAACGTTTCTAGACACCTTGTCTTGTACTTATAGATGCTATTCAGTGAATATTCCAAAGCGAATTAATATATCCGAAGCAAATATCAGCCACTTTGATGGTCAGTATATCCTTTGTTTAATATATAAATGTGAAAACACACGTGTATGAGAAGCATTACGTTGTGAAGCGAATTAAAAATAAACGTGAAAATTTTTAGTTTGTGTTCAAACGAATCGTAATGTACGTACGTAAACGCTCGATTTTTATGAGTTTCAAATCAGAGACAAATCGCCACTACGTAAGCTCTAAGAAAGACAAAGGCAGTTTTATTCCTTAGATGTTAGTTTCTCTGCGTTTCCTTTTATTGAATGGACGACATTGGCTAGCGATTTTAAGGTGTAGTAAAGACAAAGTGCCCAATATGATTTTTCAGGAATCGCAATAAAAAAGTGTGTAGGTGAGTACAAAACAATGAACCTCTAGACTGTCAAAGTGACAAAGAGTGGTTAACGATCGTGCAAATTCGTTTGTGTGGAATCGAAAATGTGGACTGTACACCTTATACGTCCAAGTTTACGAGACTGTTATAGCAAGACAGTTGAGGCGCGTGTAAACCTAGTCTCCGTAATAGCTTAACGGGTAGCATATTTGTTAATATCTAGGACAAGTTGTAGTCCAGGGTCGCACCCGGGCATAGACACTGTTGGCTTCGTATTGTGAGCTAGCCGTCTGATAAAATTCATAACAGCAGTACGGGGCGTAAAACTCGAAACATAGTGTGCGTCTCACGCAAGGAGGGTACTAAAAAAAAATTTAACAAGTTTGCCTCGAATTAACTTTCGTAGCGAATTACTGAACTGATACATGCTATCAACGCTATGTGCTATATCACTACTGCTATCAATATCATAAACAAAAGTAGACTCAGATAAACTCGGCGATATCTTAAATTGGTTCTGTTTCATCGGAAGAAGCTTACAGAACTTTCCTAGCTACTATATATGTTACTCCAAAATATAACTCAAAAATCGATGGATTTTTATCCATCGATGGGATCGAATGGGATTTTATCGATGGAATTATCAAAGAGATCGTCCGTTTGAAATGCAATACAGCTCAATAGCGTACGTTCAAACAGTAAAGCAACGCTTTTAACCTAGAGACCATCACGAACTTGATGTATGGCTTCTTATTTTCATATAGTCATCTAGGATATCGTGATGATTAGTCCTAATCAAGTTATGCAGCCACCGAGATAAACATATGTTTGTTTGTACACTGATGCTACATTCCTTTCTCGTCGAAAGCAACTATGCAGATACGACTGAAGCTGGGCTTTCTATCTATACCAATCTAGCTCGCACCATGATCCCTCGTGTAATTATGTTCTTGCATAACGTTTTGATAGTACTACATTGCAATCATCGCGCAAAAGCTTCAATATTTTTCTGAATAAGTCCATAAATTTAAGGTCTCAAGTAGTGAATTGGGTAATTTATTACTGTCAAGAATGAGCCTGCGCCAGCGGCTTTACATCAGGTCATCACCAATCTAAACGCTAATCTTTTTATGAGATCGCCTGAATGAGCCTCTCGCTTCTGTCGCGAACGGGAGAACATTCACAGCTACCAAAGATTCAAACAGAGTCTATTCAAACATACAAACCTACCGTTCGTATCTTTTTGTGGAGCTAAAGTCAACAATGAGTAACACAATGATCTGCTGTAACATGTCTAGCAAATCACAATAAAACGGCGTCCACTACTCAGTGAAAATACATAACAACAATAACAAAATACTGCAAGTAAGACATGATAAAATAAGAACGACTGCATAAAGTTTAATAACCTCCGATCTTCTTACATTTATGCTGTTCGTTTGTTACTTATCCTTACAGGTCAGGTAGTGTAAATGTTTTGCGAAAATTACAGTTATATTTTTGTTGTTAAACTAGGGTCTGTCGACACCGAGATGGCACCTTTTCTATACTTTTCGTTTTCTGCAAGCTGACTAGTGGAAAGGTCTGTAAACGAGATTTGGAGGCTTGAAGTTATTGTAGGGCTCGTAGATGTCGTCTGGAAGATACTTGGGGGCCAGGTACTTGCCACCTTCGCCCTTCACCATTTTGTCCAACACCTGAAGCAAAAACACTATAATATCGTAGAGAGCTACAAGCAAACGCTTTTCTGAACCAGCATGGTAAAACTCGATCAACTTTATTAAAGCATGATTATTCTCATAAGCAGTCGATGTCCGAGTCAGAAATCCAACGATCAATAATAACAGCATTTGCTGACGTCATGTGTACCTCGGTAGTTTCAAATCGATCTACAAAATTGTCTTTGCAAATATCCGTCCGTCTGCAGTGCCACCAACAAAATAGTGTTGCGTTCTTTGAAGAATATGTAAGAAAGATAGATAAAGGAAAGCACCAAAGTGTGAATCTGATCGATGCACAATATCACTTTTTAACTTGACAAACAGATAAGTAGCCATGGTGGTGCCAAGGAACTAAACGTCCACCACCAAATTATCGTTTCAAACAATTTGAAGGAAGCCGACTACAAAAAAAAAACTCAATGCTTAACCTGCCACATTAATTGACGCAAAATAATCGTATTTCCACCCGCAAAAGTCTACAAAAATTCAATGATATTGAGCTACTTCTGAAGCGGTTAATCATGAGTGATGAAACGTGAATCCAGTAGTATGCAGACAAACAACCATGAAAAGGCTCTACCATTAGTAGAATAGAAAAGAACCGTGCAATATGAGTAGCTGATTGGGACCTCTACCGTAACTGACAACTAATGAAATTACAACAAACCACTGAAAACGAACTGGCGAAAGTTAGTGAACAGAAAGGACGTCGTCTTGCCCCCTGAAAATTCCTATCCACATGCACCTTTGGTTACCTGGCAAAAATTGTAAAAACTTGGACGGGAAATTTCACTAAATCCTACGTATAGGCCAGACTTGCAACATCAGACTGTTTCTGTATCTACAGAACTCTTATTTTAATGGCGTTAATTTAGTTTCAATACAACGAGAGATACAAAAATCACTGGTCACAATCTTTAGCCCAGAAACTACAGAAGTTGTACAATGATGAGATTGTTATGTTTCCAGGAAAGTGACAAAAGGTTATAGACCAAAATGGCGCTTTTTTAATTTTGTAATATTAATTTTAAATAATTGTTTCTATTGGCTTAAAAACAATCAGTACTTCTTCGGGAATCCAGTGTTTTATATACAATAAACCGCATAAAAAATAAATGGACCGGAAGCAATGTACGAAATAAATGCAGACCTTGCATTGATATCGTTTGCAAAACACGTGTTTGCGCATTTTATCAAGTTGTGCGGGTGTTTTTTTCCAGCGTTTGACTCCCCGACCGGGCATCGCGTGAATCCACAAACCACAGTTCAATCTGCAACAAGTACGCGTTCGACATTAATACATGTACATATTATTTTTTATCGAATCATCTTACCCATTTTTATAGACATCTCATTTTTAATGATTAGTTATGATATTATCGACTATTGATTAAGTGGTCGTGGGTGCACGAGCTCAACGGTACAATATACAAGTTCTGTTATTTAGACTTTTTTCAATGTGAATTTTATTCAAAAATCACATTTAACTTAACCCAAGGCGATTACCAGCTATACAATTCTGTAAAAATGTTTTGTTTGTTCAGCGTTTAAATTCGTGCAAAACTAATATTTTCTCCCACGAGTAAATAAAGAACGTTTTAATTTATAAGTCACAAACAACGTGCTAAGGAGCAGTTTTTAATTTGTAATAATAACTAATAACGCTTAGCATTTGGCTATAAATTAAATACATGAAAGGTCACACAATAAATATATCTATGACATGTAAAACATGCTCTGTATTTTGAATGATTATGGTCAACACTCAAATAAATGGGTAAGAAAGGACAAATCACTGTAATGTTACTCAGGTCATATTCATGTAAGGTCTTCAAAAACATCTAACTAAATCTGACGTAACGGATCAAAAGATACTTTTTAATGGATGACATTATTACGTATAGAGAAAGAACAGCCCAAACATACAGTTGCGTAAGCTTATTAGCGCCTTTATTTTTATTATAAAACTTTTCCAAAAATCCGTGTCATATACCATTGGAAGCTCGTTTCCTTGGCTCCTCAAACCACCATTTTTTACGCTTAAATTACAAAGGGATTTCTAGGAAGTACCAAGAAAAAGCATTTTTGACACCTTTTATTTATAACCCTCTGGCGGTTAACGAAACCATTTAGTAGACGCTGCACGCCATGATAACAACTCTATTGCTGAGAGGAAGACTCAAAAATGATTAGCTAAACTGAGCGGGAGCAACCGTTAGATGAGCTTATATTGCCTAGTTCGGAAATAGTTACAAGCGTGGATCATATTTTTTAAGCGACTTCCGTGCTAGGGCTGAGAAATTGTTCTCCGTGCAATGTATAACACTTATACTAATATAAAAGGAAAATCGCGACGAAACTTCGGCAACAGCATAAGAGAACAGAGTCTAAAGGCCTTTAAAAAGCAATAAATTGGCTGTTGCATACAGCCACGGAAAAGATTTTTAGATGAACATTGCATACTTCTTTGTCATCTCATTTTCTTATGTATAAATTAATTAATATCGTACTTACCGGTAGAAGCTCTTGATTGCAATCGGGTCAATGTCACGGCTTCCATCTTTGTGGTTAAATTTGATGACTGTGCGAGTCTGTTCCGTTAAAGCAATTTGGGTTGGAATCAGAAAATTCCCAGGGTTCTGAGCAGCTAGACCCGAATTTAGTAGCGAACTACCGGCTAAACGAGTTAGCCGCAACGAAGACACCACTGCGCGAAACATTTCGCCAGTCCCGCAATTCCGCAAGGATACTAAGTTTAGGTGGCCCGATTTGTGATTTGTTATTTATACAGACAAGAATATTCAGATAACAATCAGCTTAACTAACTTTTCGTTTTTATTTTGTAGTCATGTACATTTGTCGTAAATTACCGACCGCACATGAGAAACCATATTCGAAGGATAATTTTCTATGTTTACTAAAGGCCCTTTGCAAGAAGCAATTGCGAAAATAGCATGGATGTGGGAAAATTAAAAATATTAATAAACCTGGAAATGAACTATTGAATCGTCTGGCAATTCAACGAAGTGAGTTAGGCTTTCTTTCAGTTCATAGTCTGCGGTATGGAATCCTGTGTCCTAAAGAGAGTAAAAGAAACGCTCAAAAATAAAAAATAAGGACTCAATTATATGAGGACTAAGCGGATAAAAGTGCTTATTCAGAACAGATGTTGTTAATCGCGGCTAGTTATTGAGTTAAAGTATTAGTTTCTAAGTGATGTGTTTCTAAAATTAATGAGTTCCAAACGAAGCAGGATAGTTTCGAGTACAGCTTATCAGGATAATAACTTACGTGCGACATGTTAATATTTCATGATAAAGATCAAGTCTGTGTAACAGCAAAATCCAATAGAGGTCCGCCCCGCTATGACTCCACCAATCGAATTACATAAACCGATATATTTAAAATAAGCGGTTTTACCCAGGCAATCGCCTTCGAATTTCTATACACTGCAAATATCCTGTGGATATATATAGTATCGATGTTCTAAAAACGGGTAATACAAACTAGGATCTAGATTGTACCTCGAAAACCGTTTTTCAAGTATTAACCGTCTCCCCAAGTTACACTCATTCGATACTCGCGAACGACACTCCGATCATCAATTACACGACGACTAATGGGAACGCGGCGTAGCCTCGAAAATATTCTCCGAACACTACGGTCGCACCGGCGGCCGGGTCGCCCTGGTTTTTTGTTTTATTATTTACTGCGTGCAAAAGCCATCTCTATTAGTCAACTTATTGAATGCAAAAAGTATTTGCCTTGTAGCGATAACTATAATATGAACAGAAGTTGCAGGTGATTGGCTCAAAGAGGACGGGCAACTTTAAGCCCGTTCAATTGGCAGTGAATTGTAGAACAAGTGTATTGCCGAAATCTAAAAAATAATGGGAGGCAGTGGAGTAAACGAAGATGAAATTATTCGTCGAAAGCTTCTCATCGACGGTGAGGGAATGGGCGATGATAGACGGTAAGGATGCCCTACACGGGATGATTTCAGATCTAATCATTTGCTAATTTAAGAATTGGTTTACCGAGAAGATGGAAACAAAAATTGGTGAAGCTCAAAAGCTATCTAGTGTACTTGGTTTTGCTGTCCGACAATTTCTATACTGAGTAAAAGGGTACATCCATAACTAAAAAATGAAAAAAGCTGACAGGGAAACGTTATTCTCTACTTTCAGCATTATATTCCAGTTTTAATAGTGTGCAAATGGAGTGCATGAGAATGGACTTATTCTGTTCTTGCAAAGTGTTAAACAACAATGCTCGCCATCAACGTAAACGATTACAGTAAGCATGATGAAAGTGGTTATCCGGACGACGCCTACTACCAACGGTCAAAATAACTGAATCGTCCGATTTATAAACGTACAAACGACTTATAAGAATCCTACATACAAGCTTGAGTTAGGTATAAAAAGTGACGTAATGTAACAGTCTGGTTATTCGCTGTTTCAATTAACCATCGTGGGTAACATCTTCGATTGTTGATGAAGTGTCGTTGCCTGGATTACGATAGGCGTTTTTCCCCATAACATTTCCAGGCTCGAGTTACTGATGCGAAGTTTTGTGAAGTGGGCAGCTCAAGAAGAGGGCGAGGAAGATCAATGTAGCACATCGCTAACGGCGCTTGAGAATGCTGTTGATGGATGCCTCAAATCAATGATCAAATCGCACAAGGTAAAAAGAAGTTGTCTTAGTAAAGCTCTTCCTTCAAAATATATTAATTATCACGTAAGACATTCATATTTAATGTTTTCGCTGGCATTAATAGCAGTTAGCTAAGACAATTACAATAATAAAAGAAGAAATAGTCATTACTTGTCGAAATAAGTACGTTGTACGTATTTCCTTTTCGTATCATTGGGACATAATCCTAATGCGTACAAAGTATATAATAATTATTATGTTTAACAGGTGTTGGCGATGAATGAAGCTGAGCTCGCGCAGTACAATGAGTTGTACGCACAGATTGGTGATGAAATTCGTCGGACTGGTGAAGAAATCGCGATCGGAAAGAAACAGCTTGCCACTGCCAGACAGGTACGACTATAGCTAGAGTAGATCATCGTTATATTTACAGACATCTTTTTCGTGAATAAATTACTTCAATAAGACAAATAGGTCGGTTAATACAACGGATTCTCTACTTACCCACGAACTGATATCGGATGGTAGTCAAGCAGCGACCAAGTCGTCGCCGTCGTTTGTTTTTGCTTGCTTGCACCTACCTAGGAAGGCGCTCTTAGTAATAAGACTTGATAATAAGCGTTTGAAGCAATTGTTTTTTCATAGACAGCACAGTTTGGCAGCTCTAACTAATGGTTACCTCTATAATCGTTTGAAGATTCGTGCTAATAAGGAACATTATAATGCGATGGCCGCTGTAATCGCCAAAGAAAAGGATCGAACCGAAACAACCCGCGAATTGGAACGGGCCGAAAGGGGTATGGTGGAACTGCAGAGTAGACGAGAGGCATTAGCTAGAAGAATTGAACAACATCATCGTCAGTTTCAGGTACGGCATTTGCCTTATCTGTAGTATTTCAAAGAAACAACTCTACATTAAGCATAGAAAAGTAAAATATGCACGGGGCCACTCGTTTTTGGATTCTAGTGTGCTGACTCAGCCGATTTGTTTGAGGTGCATGAAGCCCTTCAGTTAATCAGAATGGGAGCGCGGAAGAGCTGGTATGATGACAGTGGAACTTAAAATGACGCGTTGTTTGACTACTGAAATTTGCTATAACTAATCACCAGTATGGCAGTGACGGATAACTACGAGCAGACATTAAGTGTCACAGACCCTTATTTAATTGTAAACTCCATATTCAGGGTTATAAACATCACGTAGCTTTTTGTCACTTTTAAATTGCTTAAGCTGACGATACCAAATGTTAAAAAAAAAATCTAAACCGGTCTTCAATCATGTGACTGGTAGTTTTTTGCGAAGTAGATTATCGGACTCTGGTAAGCAACGCACATTTGCTTGTTATAGCAGTTCTAAGGTGTGCTGTGTAAGTAATCATCCAGGAGCAGATTAGCTGGCATTCTCCTTTTCGCAATCTTCAGTCCTCAGTATTGTAATACACTGTACATATTTTGCGAGCACAGGTACTTCTGACCGCTGTGCAACAGCTCCAGCAGCTGAATAATAGTGGTGGTAATGACGAATTAGCCAAAAGTGACGATATACTCCAGGCTGATGATGACGCAGATGACGACGTCGCTCTTCTAGAAGAAGGTGAAATGGAGGAGGGTCTCGACACCCCAAGTCATGCTAGCCACACTGTCGGCATCGGTCTGGACGGCCGTGGCGTAGAAATGAGCGGAGAAGATACGCAGGATACTCTCGAAGGAAGTGTTGTCACAATGCACACCGATTAGTAAACGTGTCATCATATTATAAGTAAATTCGTTTCTTACTTAATAGGAAGTCTTGTATAATTTGATTATAGTTTGTTATACTATAATAGATTGAGTTTGACTATAAAGCTGTGTCGAGCCAACCTGGCCTTTACATAACCTTTCTGCAAAGTACAGTAGAAAAAATACATGAAGCGAAAACAGGCACGGTTCTCGTCTACCAGACGCTCGAGCATCCGTCGATAGCACCCGCAAGAGCGGAAGAATATGTGCGGTACACAATGAGCTACCGTATTTCTTTGTAGATATTGTGTAGTAAAAAAACGAGATAATTGGATCCGATGACCTAACGTTTGTGCTGAGTGTAAGACAACTGATTCATTAAAAATCGCGAAATTTCGGTGAAAAAAATGACATTTCAGATGATAAGTTAAATCATCGTTAATATGGTCTCTGTCTTATCGGTAATAGTTACCGAGAAAAGTACTTAGTAAGTCTTGGCTTGTTAACCTAGAGAGGTGACCTTGCTTTAATATGCACACTTGCGCATACGAAGAGTCCGTTGGTGTATGTTACGTTTAATACCTCGGGTATGCAAAAACAATACAAACAAACTAAATAATACGATTACCGCTATATTTGTAAAAACTATGTGAATAAAATATAATAATCAAGTTCTAGATGCGTAAGTGTTATCCGATTTTGGGTTTAGTGCTAGGAAAAATACGTTGAAAATAAATTCCATAGGTAAGCTTGCATACATAAACTTATCCCTTATATCTATATCTATTTTTTAGTTTTTCGCACAAACTGAATCGACACTGAATGAATTGACATATATAGTAAAAAATATTTTCTAAGCTAAATCAGCTGTACTTTATGCAATTTTGTCGACCAGACCAGTAATGAGTTGTTTAATTTAATGTGTTGCATTCCATCGTTAGATGACCTCTTTAAAAATGAAAACAAAACTCCACTTACTATACCATTTAAAATCGAAGGTTAAGGGCGTTTATTTTTGATAGTCTCTGAAATACCATACACAGCTACATTGCAACTAAGCTAATTAGCACACAATTAAACACTTGTCTATTTAATGCTTATGTAGTGTCTCCCCCAATATATTCATATTCATGCATACTGTACATAGAATGATGGCAGTTCGCATCTGGAAACTTTTTCCCACTTACTGAACTGTGGTTAGTTTTTCTGCATCGCTATTGATGGGGAAGATCTTTAATGAAACTGTTTAATCACACTATACACAAAGTGCTGCGACACCAAACTATCTCAATATCAAACTGTCTACCGGTAGCATTAGCAACCACATGATTGTTACTTGCAGGTGTATGTTATGAGCAAAGCTCTGCTCAAATATTCGTCAGCAAAAGCCGTCATGATTTCGAATAGAGGATAGGTTCTAGTAGCATACTGGTACCGCCCGCTATTGTTTAGTTGGTAGACATGATCATTTCGCATTTCATGGCCTGCATGTTTCATGATAGGCCTCACAGGTTCGAACACAATGCCACGTCGGTGGAAAATGATTTTGCAAATGACGATTACAACGACGACAAACATCCGAAAACAGCGTTATGTAACTGTGCAGCCAATGCTATGGAAAATCAAAAAAAAGAAAGGTATTAACAATCTGTTTTAAAAAGTAAACTTTGCAAATGTTTTATCGTCATCGATATATCACTGGCCTAGATCAGAGTAAAAAATATATATATAACACAAGAATTATGCCGGATCGCTCGCAGCCAAGCATCTAAGAGTACATTAGATTATAGGAACCACATTTCCTCGCTGTTGTTCTAGATACGAATGCTGAAACGAACTACATACTAGAAACGATTTCACGGCAACTTCGTGCATGCTCGGGACATGGAAGTGCAACATAGCTGCACTTGCATGTTCAGTGACCTTCTGAAAGACAGCAAAACGTGATGGGGTCCAAAGATCGAGCTGGTCATCTGCTGTGTATAGTTCCTCGGTATATCCTTTGATCAGGACCTGCGGAGATGACATACGCCATAATTTTAATGCATAGAAATTCCCTACTTACGTAGTTTTTTTCATTACTAGTCTAACAAGAAACGATAGTAAATCTCTAAAATGTGATTGATCAGGTTAGTTGCATTAGGGGCTACATATATGATATACATAGGGATCGTTCGTTATATATATAGGGATATATAACGAGGGACTCAAAAGTTTTTAGAAACGTACCCATTCGATGAGCAAGCCACGCAGCACGATAATAGCTTTGAGGGTTCGGCCAAGCGTCACTTTGAGAACGGCATTTTGCCCACAGGGTCGGACAATGTCGATGGACATATCGGTCAATCCCCGTTGCATTGTGCTCAAGAATTGGTCAACAGGTCTGGAAGGATACGAGTTGTTTTTCAGAAAATCTACAATGGCCCAACGAGAAATAATATTTATAAATTCTATATTTCTAGAGATATGCTTGTTAATATCTTGTAAGCTGTTAGTTGTCAAGCACAGAACAAATTCACTGCCAGAATCTGCCGTCATATCTTACTGTCTATTGAGCACACCGCAACAAATCTAACTCATCTCGAAAGGAACAATGTAATATCAAAGGCTCGCATGTCTACGAGTACAAAATGAAGAGAAATAAGGACAGTGAAATAAAAGAATTTAACTCACGGTTGTGGGACGTTATGGCCCCTAGGCACGGGCAGTCTCTGCCTACGTTTGTTGCAGAAAACCTGATTGTTTGATCTCTTTAGATTATTCTGCTGGAGTATAGATGCCATATGATGTGTGTACTCGTGTACCCGGTCAAGCCATCGATGAGCTTTTACCATATCTACATACAGTGAGGTACGATCTAGTGTTGGGTCCTGGACAAATGTCAAACACCAACTAATTAGTAATACGTATAGTATAAGCGGTGTGCATGTTTCAAAACTAGCGAATACATAATGTTTTAAATTATTCTTGATGATAGTTTGCACGAACATCGAAAAAGATACATCGTGGCTGGCTTCTTCGTCATCGACGACCTCTACCTACATATCGACACACCTTTGACTTACGTATGCTGGCCGTGCGTAAATGCGGCAACTTCGCCAACATCGTCTTTGTGCTTATAGACGACAAGTGACGTGGGATATTTTCTAGTTATAATAAATACAACTACCTGGCAAAGGAATGAAGTCGCTCCAAGTCCAAGACTAGCTCCACCCAAATTCTGTGCAGAACTTTCCAGCTCCCTTTAGATAGGATAAACAATAAAACAGATTATTAAATCAGATATCAATTAAGGATTTTAATTAGTCTAAATGAACGCTGCGAAAGAAATTATTTAGAAAGAATTGATGTTGGACAACACAACCTAGCTCATTAAATGTGATTCAAGCTAAAATTGTTGAGTAGTCTTAATTCTTGCACCTTAGTTTCGAGTGCAATTGGCTGAGAGCGCTGGCGAGGCTACCCTTGAAAGCCTGATCTCGTTCCCGCTCCTCAGACTCATGGCTTGCCCGGACACCTTCAGCTAATGTACGGAACACTTTACCAACTAAAGAGCGCACAGATCGAACTGCGCCTAGCGCCTGGCGAACAGCCTCGAGATTAACCTGTTCAATTAAGGAACGACAAACAATGTCAAGGAAACTAACACCCCTCCAGTATACGCTGAAGTGATCAATTGACGAACCCAAATTTCGAAAGGACACGATGCTCATCATATAATACAAAACAAAAACTTAATCAGTTAACACAAATCTGAGCAGCTCCATAGAGCCGAATTAATCGAGTTGTGGCCAACATATGGCTAAGCAAAGCCCTGTGAAATAGCTATTATTGAGTAGTAGACGTCAACTGCGCAATCAATGCGTTGCAAAACAGATTATTGTCCATTGGCAAATTTAATTCATTCAAATAAAAAAGCTAAATAAAAGAAGTTAAAAACGGCCAAAATTAGCAAGTAATATTTCAGAGCTTTTTTAAAGAACTATCCATATATTCAAGTAATAGCTGGATGTTTATTTCGAAATACGTATTCATGGTGCACGACTCACTGGTTCAGCGGATGCTGGTCCTCCAGTCGCTCCTGGAATTGGGGCAGGGCCTCCGCCGCCACCACTACCGCCACCACCGCTACCGCCACCACCGCTACCGCCACCACCACCGCCACCGCCACCACCGCCACCACCACCACCGCCACCACCACCACCACCACCACCACCACCACCCCCCGTTCCTCCTCCTCCTCCTCCGCTTCCGCCTCCTCCTCCTCCTCCTCCTCCTGACATGAACTGTTGTGATGCCATTAGCCTCCTGGCGAAATGCGGATATGTCTGTTAGATGTAGCCCACATAGGTTTCAAGAACGGAACCATACAGGGGCAGCCGTAGCTCCTTTTAAAAAATAAAAATATTTTGTAAGTCAGCTTTGTGTTCTTATGATAACATGTAGTTTACTGTTTACTGGAATCCGGTTGGTAGAAAAAGATTAAGAGGCAGATTTTGATGTATTTGCAATCTGTTATAAGTAATAACTAAATGGTTCAGGTAAAATTCTTCAGCTGCGGTTACCATTATAGTTTTAAGTGTGACTAAGGGCGAATCCCGAAGTATTTATATATAAAGGTGGCTTACTTTTTTGGAAAAATTTTTAAGACTATTACTCTCGCCTTGTAATAAAGACATACAGAACGCTAAACAGACCCACAAAATAAACCGCTTCAACCTTTCTCTACCATAACAAATAAATCTAAATCTTAAGAACACTATAATTATAGGATGTATAGGATATCGGTGCATAAAGCTTCTGTAGTATCCGCAAATACACGAAGGTACCTACTGCTATGCCACTTGTGCGCCTGTCATCTAAAGCATACTGTTTTTTTAGAAAAATCGAAACTTTTAAGCGTTAATGCATTTCAGCGAGCAGTAATGCCTATAGTATGGCCGCCATCAGTTACATTACATGTTAGGAGTACAACAATATTTATATTGGTCAAATGTTACTTGACATTAAAATTCAAATGGGGCAAAAAAATCACTAAGCCTCCGTCGGACATTAAATCCATGACCTTATGGTTATGAGTGTGGCTCTGCCCCCCCCCCCCCCCCCATTGAAACAGTCAACGCCACGGTCATTTGCAAGTATTGTTAGAGTATAACTCAGATTATATTATAATGTAATAAATGATATTAATATACTTTGATGATTAGAATAAAATTGAACATATTTTCATACTTTTTTTCATGTTTTCTGGATTATCCATTTCATTTGTGGTTGCGATTTTTACATAAAGTGAATTGCTTCTCAATTTGAATAATAAAGTCTTCATCTCTAGGACAGTTATTCCCCTACAGGGCGCTGGGCTGCGTAGTCAAGTGTGTTATCAATTTAGTGCATCCATGTACGCCTGTTTTCTGTCTATTCTGTCGGTTTGCTTGTGGAATCAAACATAATTCCTACTTGTATGCTCGGATGTTACTGAACAGAAAGGGGAATATAGATTTTTTTCTAGAACTTGCTTTTCGAATGTCACTAGATACTATAAAATTTAGAAAGGGGTATGAAAAACGTGAGACTGCTTCTTTAGCCAGCAAGCGGCATGAGGTAGTAGTTAGACACGAGCTGAATATATTAACACAAGTGGTACAACACAAAGTAGAACAAAACTTCTGATGTAAACAGAAAGTTCGCTGGCATTTTTGTCGGCGTGAAAAAGGTTTATCTCAATTCTGAGCTTTTGCTGAGCTGGACTTTACCTGTTGTAGTTAGGCTTTCTGATAATTAACACGCTTTTCACTGAATCTTATACTATTTTCTGAGACCGACGCATAACTTTTTTATAAGTTGGTTTTTTTTTTTTGAAGTTCGGTTATATATACAACTGAAACTCTTCACTCAATTTGACTAAAGATTGTTTCATCAAAGCAATGTTTTGATTTTTACCGGTCGACCTCCTATAGACTACCCCTTGATGAAGTTTGATGTGTGAAGCGGCCAGACAATATTGATGATGGTGATTCCTGTCCCTTGATGGACGAACAGTTTTCGAGGCGCTTTATTAAAAACAGCCTCTTTGCTCATTTGTCGCGGAAAGATCGCCCGAATATAAAATACATGGCGGAAATTTTTTATGAACAAGCTTTTTTCAAATCGGCGAATAATAGAAATACTCTTCTAAAATCGTTTATTTGAGAATACTTACATAGCCATTTTATATGAAACGAAGGCAATCAACAGCACGCCTTGCGAATGAACGAGAGTGAGGTTCTATAAAGTTTATATCCTAGATATACGCCACTCGTGAAAAAATGAAGATTACGAATGCAGCATACGCAAGGGTGTATTCGAAGAACAATGTTTCGGTGCGCGATTCTCTTTGTTCATTCGATTCCTTAAATCAACCATATCTAGAAAAATACGCGACATCAGATTCGGGCTTTAAGGGTTCAATGGTGAACGGTCTTATGGCTCTCACCACATGCAGTTTCAACTGAGAGTGCCATGCCGCTGTGACCTGTGGGAGGTGTAGAAGGATTTAGGAGGCGGCGATTTTGGATCGCGTCTTAGGCCATTTTGAGGCTTCGACGACGGCCAAAAAAGCGTGGTTAAACCGTAGAGTTGTGTGGAATAAAAAACTGTCCTTGTATAAAGTTGTCAGAAAAGCAAGTAGCACCTAACTCCTAAGCATGTTCCTCCGGTTCTTAAGTACTCATACCACTACTGCAGGCACTTTGTTAAAAGCCGGTTTTAGGAAAAACATACCTTCACTATTTTGGGGCTCGGTGCGCTTATGCCATGGAAGTAGTGTCGGAAAACAGGCCAAGGTGAGTCGTTGATCAAACGACGTAGGTTATCTATAGAAATTGGGAAAAGAGGCATTTACTGAATTTTATCGTTATTATCATCTTACTTAGAGGTTCTACCCCATGACCATCATCAGACGATATTATTTTGAGAATTTTTGCGTGCCATGGGTTTCTGATAAATATTATTGGGCAGTAACTCAACAAATGTGTAAACTGAAATGTGTTTACATTGGGTTTCCAATGTGCATTGTAGCACGCCTTTATACGTCGTTGTTTAGCAGGCGAATATATTACCGCAGCATCAAAAGGGCGATATCTTTGTATCTTAAACTATCATGGTTTTTCTGCTGTCTTGTTCTCTGAATGAAAAAATGCTAATTTAAATTTTCTGATTGAAGTTATTATTATAGTATTAAGCTGTCTAAGAGTAAAAACGCAACAACGTTTTTTATGTCTATTTCGTAAATAACTCCGTCCTGGAAAAGTATAGTTAAAGAAGAAATAATCAATAAAATCAATAAAAATATTTTATAAAAACGAACTCATATGTAAACTCCAGCTGTAAAAAAAAGTCGGTGAATGAGTTAAGGCTGAAACAGGAGTGGGGGCAGCTATAGTTGTCCGAAGTCATAATTGAGCTCTTTTAGTAATAGTTTTTAAAGTAAAAGCATAATTAGAACGCAAATATAATATACAATAATGAAGTATTTATTACGCGTAAAATCTCCTATTTTTATTTTCAAGTTGATTAGAAAGTGATGTCTATGTATATTTATTACTTCTTTTCGTAATTGTTCATTTGGTGATGGCAAAATACTTTATATCGTTGAACCTGTTATTCTGGCTTTGCCTACATCACAATTTTTAATCACAGTTCACGTGACGTCGGGGTCTAGAAGTACATGCGGCATTTTTTTGCAACGCAACCCTTTAGATGCTCTATAACATATAAACTATATTCACATTAAGGAAAAAATGTGATCATATAGAATAGCGAAAAGTTGTTAAAAGTAAAAACAATAAATAAGAGTGGTCATTACTTTTAGCCCTCTTTACAGCATTGCTATATTGGGATTATCTTGGAAACAGCTGGAGAAATCCATGACACGTGTTCGGTCGCATTCTTTCAGCACGCATATTTAAATGCAAATCGATGTTAAGAATATACTAGATGACAGAAAAAATAAATAGGTATTCTAATGGGAAATTCCGAATCAAACTTATTAGGAAAATAGTCTTTGATTGGCATTTGCTTCATACTAACTACAGTTAAATTAAAGAATTATACGCAATTCTATTTAGGAACGATTGTTGTTTTCCTTGGTTTGCTTTCACAGGGTACAAATGTGAAATCCGGACATAGTGATAGGGCCTCTGAAGAGCAGCTATTACGGATGGAGGAAGCCTTGAAGGAAACGATACCGAAATTCTTTGTGAGCGCACATGATTTTTCGGTAAGTAATTTAGTGACTAGTATGGCGAGCTTTATCTGCTCTATTTTTTTTGCTCTTTGTGCTTTTTTCGACTGTGGGTTGCATAAACGTAACGTTGTATGCAATGTATATGTAGACGTTAGCTGTTATATTAAATTAGTTTCCAAGATTTTACCAAGTGGTTTGTTTGGCACAACAATTGCCAGTTAATACATCTTCATTTTACTCGATTGCAGCTTTACACATACGGAGTGGTCTTCGAAGATAATATCCGTAATGTGCGAACGACGTAAGTATCAATAGATATATGAAATGCTTTTATGCAAAATATTCATGCTAACTTCTAATTTAATAATACTATATATATATATATATATATATATAAAGCAGGTG